ACTGGCAACAGTTCTATGAAACCTCCACAAAAGGTAGTGAAGATAAGGCATCTAGTTGCACTAATAAAATAACTTTTGATGTGGTATGTGGGCCATTGATATCTGTAAAATTCATCCCACCACACTAATAAACATGCTTGGTGGAAGATATGAGAGTTTGCCTGCACAAAAACACATAGAACCTCAATAAAATATAGTCGCCACTACATCAAGAAAGACACCTATGGCCTGCACACCAAGAAGGATATATTGAAAATATGTGTGATAACTCCCTCGCAACTTCCTCATTGTGTTAATTATTACCCTGCATTGCATATAGTATTGGGAGCCTTTTGTACTTTTTGGCATTTTTGACACGTTGAAATAGTCTATTTGGCAAAATGGGTAACAGATTTAGAATATTATGAGTCATTTCTCATAAAATTATGTTTGCTTTCCTTTGTCATCATTGCATTCAATCAGGTTGCCTACTAAGTCATGTATGGAAGTGGACATGCAGCAAAAAAAAAAACATTTTCATATGTATAAGTTAGCCAAACAAAGAGATAGGAGTAGTAAGGATTTAGTTCAAGTGAAGTGTATTAAGGATGAAGATTAAAAAATACTTTTCTTAGAAGATGATATTCAACAAAGGTTTGTTGTTGTTGTTGTTGTATTGAAGATAAGGTACAACAAAGGTGGGATTGGCATTTAAGGATGAAGGTCATATAACATATTTTTTATGTGATGAGGATGACAAGTGATAACCACATTGAAAAAAAAAACTAAGAATATGAGAACCAAAAGTATGCAAAAGCTGTCATAAAGAATGGCAGGGCATGGTCATTTTGGTGGTGATATAAAGACTAGCAGATAGTTGTAGCCTGCCAGAATTAATTCATGTAAATCACGAACTATTATCCCATTCTGAAGCATATACTTTCTAAAGTAGGAAAGTAATTATAAAAGTTCTCTTTCAACGTGGCATTATAGCAGACAACAAAATTTGAGGTTAGGAAGATGCATGTACACTGTTTATATGGTTTGTAAATAAATTTTATGATATCAAATTACATAAGGAATATATGTAAATTTTGTTGAGCATTTCTAGCAAGCAATGTATCTTTCCAACATACCTGGCCTCTCTTGCAATTGAAATATGTTTCTCTCAGACCAATACATTCACTTGATATAGAAGGCTCCTTCTCTCCAGCACATTCCCTATATGGTCTATTTTGAGCCTGCGTGATGCAGTTAAATCGATCAAAAAACAAACAAAATCTATATTAAACTATTTACTATCCTTTTTCCAGAGCATAACAAAAGAATTTACAGTATGTTTAATTAGATTTACCAAAATGCACCAAAATAATTCAACATAGGATTAGGTTTATTTTCATTAGGATATTGGATATATGGACAATTATCCTTCTGGATAAGAGATAAGGAATGGTCCCCTAACTTTTTACAAAGAATCAAAATAGTATCCAAATATTTAAAGTCTCATTTTAATCCCTTAACTTTTTAAAGGAGGACCTAAATGATCTCACGGAATGACTAATTAGGTCCATATTTAAAGAGTCAAGGGATAATATTGACACTTTTATAAGTTAATGGCCCAATTTGGTCATTTTCTCTTTTGAATAATCATTAAGGTTGTTTGAATTAAGTTTGCTAAATTTGAAATTGATTGAATGATGAATATGGCTTGATTCCCTCGTTCTTGCTCTCTCTTTCTCTCACACAAATAATTGGCATCAAAGTCTCATTGACTTATTCACATCCACCCACTCGACAACCCAACCATGTTTCTTCACAACAACGCCTCCAATAGTATTCTTCATCCTCCCCTTTGTAGAATATATCATGTTAATTGCATCTAAAATTAATTGCTATTCCTTACAGAACATGGCCACTTTTATCAACTGCGTGCCTGATGCCATGCTTGTGTGTCATCTACTTTGACCACAATCCCAACTCAATCCCACATCTGTCTACCTACCCACCCCATAGAACACCATCAATGCCAACAAACTTTTGAGCTTCATGGTATATATAGCCATGTCTTCGCTATGCAATCCCCTTTTCTCAAACTTTGACTCTTCCTTTTATATGCATCATATAGTGACTATAAAACAAATTCATTGGACCAACATTCTAGCCCTTTTTTAGTAAGACATGCTTAATTCAATAGCAAACGACCGTCTTCCGGCTTGTTAAATTGGAAAGCAGTAGTAACTTAGTGGTTGTTTGGTTACAAGTAGGATTTAATTCAATAAGATTAAGTAAATCTTGTAAATTTAGATTTAGCAAACCTTGGATGTGTTAAAACTTGATAACTATTTGACAGGTTAAATGTTAACTCTAGTAAAATCCTTGCAATCGGTTTGGTAGATATTTTGAAATTTATTATTTAAATGAAGAAGAAAAAAAGGCAACGTGCGTAGAAGCGTACATCTCTTAAATTTAATTTCTCCTAGTATTTACTAAAGCCGGGATTTAGCCTAAAACTGGAAGAATAGGTGATTTAATATATTAGTAGTATTTATGTGGCTAAAAACTATTTAACAAGAATTAGGCAAGATCCACGCTAAATCTTGCAACCAAACAGCCCAATGACGCTCTGGTGTTTCGTTTCTCCAAACACCATTAAAATTGGAAAACAGTAATAATTTTACAAGCTTCAATCTCCTTCGGTGTTTCTCCAAATGCCCCATTCAAAAACAATCTCAATTACTTCTGTATCGTCGTTTTATTCAATGTTTGAAATGATAACACAACATGAGGCTCTATCTATTCCTCCACAAAACAGCTAAAGAAAGTCTCTTAAATCAGGCGGAATAATGAATAACAAAAAAAGAAAAACATACGTAATTAATTGATTGGGTGGACCCACACCCAAATCAATTAAATCCTTTAACCTCTTTCCCCATTCAGCCATCAATCGAATACTACTGCTATTCAATCAGTTTCCTAATTTGTGTGATCCAAAATCAGTGGGAATTTGAATTCAAATTCAATTTAGATTTGATGTCAAATCTTTCCCTAATTCCCTAACCCAATTAGGTAACCAATTACTCTGCATAAATCTGAGTTTAAAATCAGATTTATTCTCCTGCATCAATTAAGAGCTTGAGCCCACATTTAATTAAGACCAATCCCCTGATTTGCTCCCCTAATTGCCGGCTCTTTATTCCTCTCCAATCAACATTAATTGGCATTCATTTTGGATCCAAATAATTATTTCTCTAATCACTTTTCCCTCCCACCATCCATTACATTCAAAATTCAAATTACCCCTACCAAATTGATTAGGGAAATCTGAAAAATCTTGCCCAAGGAAAATCCGTTCCTGCTGTCTTGGGCCTCCAAATGCTGGCTGCTATTCCAAAACCTGCTACCTAGCATCTTGAGAATTTGAAGATAGGAATTTGCTGTCCATAAAATTCCGGCCAGCAATATTGTCACCAATTCCTCTCCTGCCTGCTATCCAGCAATCCGTCACGTGTTGTCCAAGGCTTTTCTAAGCCATACAATTTGCTGTCCAGAATTTCCAAGTGCTGGAAATGCTTTCCAGGTCTGTGAAGTTGCTATCAAGAATTATTTCGAGTGCCAAACTGCTGTCCCGACCTTCATTGCTGCTATCTAAGACATCCCTAGCTGCTGTCCAGCCATTTTGGTGACCTTCGATGACTTTTTCACTGTCCAGAAGGTCTCAGATCGCCATCGTGAAGGCTTCCAATCCTGAAGTTGCCGTCCACTCTTCCCCAAGCTCATAATCGACCACACCGGAACATCGTAACTCCCCTTCTTTGGGTAAACTCTTCCTCTAATTCACTTATCTTCGTAGTTTATTCCTCAATCGTGGTTATATTTTGATTCACAATGATCATGCTAATTCTTCCTCGCTAAAACTTAGATAACTAGAGAGTTGAGTGAGGGATTCTTGCATAGTGTCTAATCCTATTGTTAGCATTGGGATTTACGTTGAAAACCATTCATGTATGCAATGTTAGATTAATTGATTGTTTTACGATTTTAACTCCTATGCATGTAATTTAGCCTAAGCTTGTTTTACCGCTCTTTGTATTTTATCTTGTCATTTAAAATCAATATAAAGGATATAATTATTGTGGCTCTAAATATTAAGCGTGCAAATTCATTAAGTAACCCATCTTTGCATGTACGTTTCACATCAGAACCTCAATAAAATATAGTCGCCACTACATCAAGAAAGACACCTATGGTCTGCACACCAAGAAGGATATATTGAAAATATGTGTGATAACTCCCTCGCAACTTCCTCCTTGTGTCAATTATTACCCTGCATTGCAATGCAGATAGTATTGGGAGCCTTTTGTGCTTTTTTCATTTTGGACACGTTGAAATAATCTATTTGGCAAAATGGGTAAAACAAATTTAGAACATTATGAATCATTTCTCATAAAATTATGTTTGCTTTCCTTTGTCATCATTGCATTCGATCAGGTTGCCTACAAGGTCATGTATGGAAGTGGACATGCAGCAAAAAAAAACATTTTCATTGAAGATAAGGTACAACACAGGTGGGATTGGCATTTAAGGATGAAGGTCATATAACATATTTTTTATGTGATGAGGATGAAGAGTAATAACCACATTGAAAAAAAAAAACACTAAGAATATGAGAACCAAAAGTATGCAAAAGCTGTCATAAAGTATGGCAGGGCATGGGCATTTTTGGTGGTGATATAAAGACTAACAGATAGTTGTAGCCTGCCAGAATTAATTCATGTAAATCACGAACTATTACCGTCTGGATGGGTTACCATTCTGGAGCATATACTTTCTAGAGTAGGAAAGTAATTATAAAAGTTATCTTTCAACGTGGCATTATAGCAGACAACAAAATCTGAGGTTAGGAAGATGCATGTACTCTGTTTATGTGGTTTGTAAATAAATTTTATGATACCGGATTACATAAGGAATATATGTAAATTTTGTTGAGCATTTCTAGCAAGCAATGTATCTTTCCAACAAACCTGGCCTCTCTTGCAATTGAAATATGTTTCTCTCAGACCAATACATTCACTTGATATAGAAGGTTCCTTCTCTCCAGCACATTCCCTATATGGTCTATTTTGAGCCTGCGTGATGCAGTTAAATCAATCAAAAGACAAACAAAAGCTATATTAAACTATTTACTAACCTTTTCCAGAGCATAACAAAAGAATTTAAAATATGTTTAATTAGATTTACCAAAATAATTCGACATAGGATTAGGTTTATTTTCATTAGGATATTGGATATATGGACAATTATCCTTTTGGATAAGAGATAAAGAATGGTCCCCTAACTCTTTACAAAGAATCAAGATAGTCTCCAAATATTTAAAGTCCCATTTTAATCCCTTAACTTTTTAAATAAGGACCTAAATGATCTCACCGAAATCCGAATGAATAATTAGGTCCATATTTAAAGAGTCAAGAGATCAAATTGACACTTTTATAAGTTAATGGCCCAATTCGGTCATTTTCTCTTTTGAATAATCATTAAGGTTGTTTGAATTAAGTTTGTTAAATTTGAAATTGATTGAATGAAGAATATGGCTTGATCCCCTCGTTCTTGCTCTCTCTTTCTCTCACACAAATAATTGGCATCAAAGTCTCATTGACTTCTTCACATCCACCCACTCGACAATCCAACCATGTTTCTTCACAACAACGCCTCCAACAGTATTATTCATCATGTTAATTGCATCTACAAGTAATTGCTATTCCTCACAGAACATGGCCACTGTTATCAACTGCGTGCTTGATGCCATGCTTGTGTGTCATCTACTTAGACCACAATCCCATCTCAATCCCACATCTGTCTACCTACCAACCCCCATAGAACACCATCAATGCCAACACACTTTTGAGCTTCATGGTATATATAGCCATGTCTTCGCTATGCAATCCTCTTTTCTCAAACTTTGACACTTCCTTTTATATGCATCATATAGTGACTATAAAACAAATTCATTGGACCAACATTCTAGCCCTTTTTGAGTAAGACATGCGTAATTCAATAGCAAATGACCGTCTTCCGGCCTGTTATCAACTGCGTGCTTGATGCCATGCTTGTGTGTCATCTACTTTGACCACAATCCCATCTCAATCCCACATCTGTCTACCTACCAACCCCCATAGAACACCATCAATGCCAACACACTTTTGAGCTTCATGGTATATATAGCCATGTCTTCGCTATGCAATCCTCTTTTCTCAAACTTTGACACTTCCTTTTATATGCATCATATAGTGACTATAAAACAAATTCATTGGACCAACATTCTAGCCCTTTTTGAGTAAGACATGCGTAATTCAATAGCAAATGACCGTCTTCCGGCCTGTTAAATTGGAAATCAGTGGTAAGTTGGTGTTTGCTTGGGTACAAATAGGATTTAATTCAATAAGATTAAGTAAATATTGTAAATTTTGAATTAGTAAACTTTGGATGTGTTAAAACTTGAAAATTATTTGACAGTTTAAATGTTAACTCTAGTAAAATCCTTGCAATCGGTTTGGTAGATATTTTCAAATTTTATTATTTAAATGAAGAAGAAAAAAAGGCAACGTGAGTAGAAGCGTACATCTCTTAAATCCAATTTCTCCTAGTATTTACTAAAGCCGGGATTTAGACTAAAACTGGAAATATAGGTGATTTAATATATTAGCAGTATTTATGTGGCTAAAAACTATATAAAAAGAATCAGGCAAGATCCACGCTAAAGCTTGCAACCAAACAGCCCAATGACGCTCTGGTGTTTCTCCAAACACCATTAAAATTGGAAAACAGTAATAATTTTACAAGCTTCAATCTCCTTCGGTGTTTCTCCAAATGCCCCATTCAAAAACAATCTCAATTACTTCTGTATCGTCGTTTTATTCAATGTTTGAAATGATAACACAACATGAGGCTCTATCTATTCCCCCACAAAACAGCTAAAGAAAGTCTCTTAAATCAGGCGGAATAATGAATAACAAAAAAAGAAAAACAGGATTCTCTCACCTTGACGCAGTCTGTTTCGCTGAGACATTTCACGAGCTCCATTGCCAAGCCCTTGCAAGACTTCGACATTCGCCCTCGCTTCTCCTGAAAAAGGAGCGAAGAGGTTTTCTATATTCTTTCTAGTTTCTAATTAGCTTCGGCGGAGATAAATAGGCTGGGCGAAGTGAAAAGGCCGCGTAACAGTCAATTGGCCCTACAACCAGGAGTCCAGGAGCATGCGGTCCAAGTAATATCGGTGAAAATACCGCCTCATTGGGAGGAACTTTTATCTCCTAATTCTACATCCGGACGTCAACAACATATCGCCACGTGCTCTTACTCTTTACCGTTCGGCCCGACGACGCGACCCGGACCGGAACCCGGTATTGCTATGTTCGTGTATTGCTATGTATTGCTCAGCAATAATGAGAAATATCATTCTGTCAAGACCAATACCTAGCAAAACCGGGGAATTGCTCTGTATTGCTAGGTATTAGTCTTGACATAATGATATTTCTCGTTATTGCCGAGCAATACCTAGCAATACCCCGGTCTGCACAAATCAGCCATTACATAGCAATACCGGGTCCGGTTTTGGGTCGGGTCGTCGGGCTGCGCGGTAAAGAATAAGAACATGTGGCGACATGTTATTGGCGTCCGGATGTAGAGCTACGTCAGGTGGCCTGACCTAATAATTGTTCCATTATGAGGGTCGGTGAGAAAAAGATTGGAAAGCAATTGTGTCATATAGTAATAAAATTATTGATTTATACTAATTCTAAAGTAAATTTAATCATTTTTAATTTTATATTAATAAAACTTATATTATACCTACCGGGCTTAGCTTGATTGGTGTGCATGTATGATTGGAAAACTAATAAAACATCACATTCTATTTCACTAATTCCCTCATCAGGTCATTGATGTAGTTGTGGAGTGAATTTTTGAATGATGTAAGAATTGTTTGTTTTATCAACCCCAAATAATACTTAGATTTTCTTTGATATATAAATATCAAAACCTCACTGAATATAAGTAAGTATATGTGTTGAATCAAGTAAAAACGTGATATAATAGAGTGTTAAACCCATGATGAAGTGTTATGCTTACTTACAACAAATCACTATAGTTTACTTTAATTACATAAATTATCTTACTGGAATAAAAATAATATTTTTGAAATTTTTATCATTGAATAAAATAGCAGAATAGTGGATACGATATTTATTAAAAAAAAAAATTGGATTGATGAATGCAAATTTCATATTTTTCTTAATTAGACTTTTCATGATAATGTGATTCAGAGCATATGCATTCATAAATCTCTATCGAACTTGTAAGTGTGAAAATTATATTTTCTAACCTCCTATAGTTATAATTTCTCCTTAAGAACTTAGAATATTTAACATCTTATGTCTAGGTATGCCAACATTCTATTTTAATATTTATGGTTGTTATTGTATTCCTTCATTGAGGCTAAACATCACACTATATTTTAACTACGCATATGTTCACGATGTGCATTAAATAAAAAATGGGATAATATTAAAAACATCATTAGATATTTAAAGAAAAAGAATTTCATTAGTACTTAATATGCACTTTGCATCATCAATCCAAAATAAAAGATTTTGTTGGACATGGAATAAATGATAAGCAAACTTATTTTCATTAAATTCATAGAAGAATAAAAATACAATAGAGTGATATCACCAAGAAGGATATATCTCATCTATACTTCCTCTTCCTTTATTTAAAGAGTTGCTTCAACAAACACATGTTAAACATTCCAATGGATTGTATCTTGTACTTAAATAGCCTCCCTTAGATTTTACTCTATGAAGGAACTACAGAAGAATACAAGAAAATTTTTCTTTTTTTGATTTTACCCTTGTGATTGAACTCCTATACAAATAAAATATAACATGTATATACTCATAAGAATACATAAAAAGACAACTGGCACCGCAACGCTTGAATGATTGGCACCGCGGTGCCCTTAAAATGAACTAGTGCCCCAGCGCTGAATTTTATGCTCTGCAACAGCGCTCGATAATGTAGAACAATTGCTTAGTGAACAGTTGTGACCTTTTCACTGTAACAACATGGGCTTTGTAAGTTACAATTATAACGTTGTTGCATTGTTGACATTTGAGCGTCGTGGCGCCCGATTGAAAAAATTGGATCCGATGTTTGAGAAATTGTTGTGCCTCGACATTTAAATTTTTGAGAACTTGGCATTGCCTAGTTTGCTTTCTAATGTAGTGGCACTGGCAATGCTTTGGGTATAAAGAGAAAGACAGATGTATTGATATGATCACCTTACTATTATAATAAAATTATGAAGAATACATATATAAATGTCATTATGTATATGATTTATATTTACTTCTATTGGTTTTTATTAAATAAAAGAGATTAACTGCTCTAGTAGGTTTAATTAAAAGGTGAAATATATAATTAATTCAAAATTAGATATTAGGACATTACACTAATATTGTTGATTTAGAATTCGAAATAGTCAACTTGACTTAATTAAATTGAACTAATTCACTTAATTGAGTTGAATCAAGTCAATTTTTATTTAAATAAGTCAAATTGAATTGAATTATATTTAACCTAATTGATCAAATCAATTTAATTGAATTAACTAATTCAAAATATTTAAATCAACCAATTTGATCCAAATTAAACTTTATTAAGCCAAATTGAGCCAAAATGGGTTTCAAATTAGCTCACTCTGTTAAGTTATAAATCAATTGAAACCTCAAATTCATTTGTCAAGGTTTTCTAAAATCTTTCTAAATCTACCCAAAGTTGATCAAGCGCCTAGTAATGCATGGTGAGCGAAACCGAGAGCCTATCATTTTTTGTATCTCTCATATTCCATAATCTTTTGTTGTTGCATGGGGCTCCAAGTTATCAAAGTCTGCAATGAATCATCCAAAACATGAAACCATGATGGCATGGGAGTATGATCATCATTGGATGTAGCTGCTTCCCCTTAATCCCTTAAACAATAGCATGAATAATGAATTATGAACACTAGGAGTGTAAGAGAGCTGAGCCGCCTCGAGCTTGACTCGTTTCTAGGCTCGCGAGCCGAGCTTATTGAGCTCACGAGTCGAGCTCGAGTATGTTTAGTAAACGAACTCGAGTTCAAATTTGATTTGGCTCAGCTCATGAGCTCGCAAGCCGACTCAAATACTTATTAATATTTTTTAAATAATTTTATTTTATTTATTAAATTTAAGTATTTAAAAAGTAATCATAATAAGTATTTATAATATTTAATAATATATCAATACATTCATATTTAACGTTTAAAATATTTAATAAAAATTTAAAAATTTAACATAATTAATAATATTTTAAAAATCTAGTTGAGGCTCGCAAGCTGGCTCGATCTCATATATAGCCAACTATTCCAGACTCCTGATTGTTGATCTGATGATTGACAATCATCCAGTTATCAATCATCAAGCAATTAATTAATTATCTAGCCTTCAATTATACACAATCAATTATCACCCACTTAAGTAGTCAATTAATCAATCATTTTGCCAGCAATTCTATCAATCAAAAAGCATACACTCAACCAGCTTTCAATCATCCAGTCTTTATTAAATTGCAATCACCTGCAATAGCAGCCCTACACTACAATCAAGTAGCCCAGTGCACCACCTTGCACAATGCATTGTCCCATTAATCTCAATTATGGTCCAAATCACTTCATTAGGAGTTTTATTGGATAAATCATCCATCAATATGCCCTTCAGTTATCATTTGATCAAACAGAGCTAGCTCAGGCTAGTTCAATTGATCATCAACATATCAATCACCTTCAATGGAACTCTAAATCAACTCTGATCTTCATCAAACTCCTATGATCACCCCTCCTAGTGAATTGGGCATAACTGGTCAACCTGACACATTTAACAATTGATTGGTCAAATATCCCCCTATTTGGTCAAATGAGGTCAACCCGGGTCAACTTAGCTAATCCATTTAAATTAAACCATTTAAATCCTTACAACCACTCCAATGCATGGTTTAGAGATCTCCTAAACTATCAAGAGTCAATCTTTCATTGATTTGACTTGGTCAACAAGTTAGAAATGGTCAAATCCACACGTGTAATTCATACATAAATCCACATATGTAATTCATACATTTAATTAAACTTCAAATGCGCGCATTGCATTTCAAAGCCTCTAATACACCTAAACAATCCAATGATCCCTTTATGTGGTGCTTAATTCCATTTGGAGATCATTTACATATTTGATTAAGGAATTTTAATAATATTTAATAAATCAATTAAGGGTTATATGCACTATGCTAGCCTCCACTCATGGAAGACATTAGTATATAAATTTTAATAACCCTTAATCAAACACTAATAAATTATTGACCCTATAAATCAGGCTTGTTTCCATTGGAGGACATGTGTATTGGATTAAAAGGCCCTTTTTCTATCCCTAATAAATTATTAATAACCCTTTAAAGGCTTTATGTGGCCATCTATCCTATATGTGGGATAATTGCATTTTATTTGCAAGCCTTCTAGTAATTATAAATTAGTAACCCTTGCACTTTGGGGGTAGTAATTTATAAATTATTTATAATCAAATAAGCAATTCCAACCATTAAAAATATAAATAACAAATCCAAACATATACAATGTAAACTTCAATTAAATTCTCCTTTCGTCCTTTAATAAACAAACATCCTAAATTCATGCAACTTAAATAATAAATTTCTACAGGACATACCAAAGTCGCACAGCCTCTTTCACACACTTAGATGGTTTGCTAGGATAACCACACTCTAACCTAAGTTAGGCCGATGGTGTGGATTGATTGCTAGGTGCTTTGCTTAGAGAGCACCCTGTGTTTGTTTATTTATATATGCGTACTCGGGAATGTCATATATTTTAATTAATGTTGGTGCACTTATAATTTCTAAGGACAACATTAGAAGCTTTATGATGCTACACAATTATTACACTTTATTATTATATGCTAGTATTTTTCTTTTCATGTCTTTATATTTCCTCCATGAGTCAAAGTAAAATGTACTTAGAAAATATTATGTATACACTTACAAGAGTCTGTAAAAGTATATTTGTTTATAGATCAAGTTGTATAGCATCATGAGTTGTAAAAGAGTCAAATACACATGCTTATATATATAAGTGAAGATAAAAAAGATGATGTCCTCTCTTTTGGAATTCAGTAGAAAACCTACAGTTCAGAGACACAAAGCATATGTATCTAATTCTACATAAATAGGAGACTTAGAACCCAAGTTTGTTATGGTGGAGTCTAGCCACCTTTTTTATGCAGAGTTAGAGTTTGTTGTGAATTTTGAATCAATAATTAAATAAATTTCTTTTATATATTATGTTATTTCTTTATTATATTACATACATGCATTGCATCATATGCGTGGTAAATTGCATTAGTGGGTAGTAGCTTTTTTTAGGGTTTTCTCAATGTATGTGTTTTAGAATTTTTATGAACATATATATTAGTCATAAGATTGTTATATATTCTGTTATATAAAGAATTTTTTGACTGGGTCAAAAGCTAAGACATATGTAATAATCCAAAAAAATTTTGAAATTATTTTTTTAAAATGAAAAATATGAATTTTAGCACCGTGCATTGTAGAATAAGAGGGAGGGAAGAGAGAATGGAGTTGGGTACTTTTTCATCTATTATTTTTGTTTAAAAATTTCTTCTATTTTTTTTAAGTAACTCAAATCTCATTTTAATTTTTAATAATTTTGATTATTATATAAATTTTTTTATAATAAACAAATTTGATTATTTCTTACTACATTTTGATTATGGCATTTACATAAGTAAGAAAAGTTGTTTGTTAACACTATAAAATGGATTAACCATTAAAATATAATTTCTTACGTAGGAGGGTGGCCAATGTGCTTTCTTTTAAAGATGATTTGTGGTGTTATCCCGGTTGTGGACTATAATAGATGACTGATGACATTGATGCGTAGAAAGTGATGAATCTTTATTGATTTAATGAAACCACATATAATGATAATTTATTAATTAGATAAGTGATAATTGATATGAGTAATGATCAATTGATGATCAATTGTTATAAAGGATATTGTAAACAATACATTAAAGCTGAATGTCCTGCATTGATAAATGTATATATTGATAATACTGATGACATTGACAGATACATTAATATCATTAACAATATTGAATATATTGATAATACATAAATGTATGATGTACATATATAAGATATATTCATTTAGTGATTTATGAATAATTTTTGCACCCTTGTTTTAATGATTTATTGAAATTTATAAAAACATTATTAATTTTAAGATTCATTGCAATGATTTTTTGCTTATATTATTGATCATTTTGAGATTTATTGATACTATTTGGTCATTAACTATTGACTGCTATTGATTATATTTTATTGAGCATATCATATTAATTTTTTAATCATTGCATTGAAAGCTTTAATGAGTTTTAGATTACTATTGGGCTTTTGAGCTCATTATGGATTTTTAATGATTTCATGCCAGGAAATGAGTTAGGTTCAATTGGAGTGAGATTGTTAGATCCTCATGTTTTCTTTATTTTAATTTTGTATTTTTTTTATTCTTTTGTAGAGTAATTTTTTGGCTAGTGTAAATAATTTTTTGGTGAATGAATAACAAAATATATTAATATATATGGATTTAATTGTTTTCAATGTTTATTGTTCATATTGATGATTTAAAAAAGTTCTGATATATTCTTAGAAAGTTAAAATTATAAATAACAATTTTTTTTTTTTCAAATTTGATTCTGGGACATTATAACATATATCTTTTATCTATCGATATAAAATTTTTATAAAATTTTTAGCACAAAAAAACTATATATTAAAATTATCTTATAATAAATTTATAATTTTGAGATTAACTTATTCAAAATTTTAATTAGAATATATTTGTAGCTGGGCTGTTTGATTTACTGAAAAAAATCATCTTAAAATTGAATGAATAGTAAAAAAAATAATGTGAAAAACTCATCTTGATTTGTTGGTTGGGAGTTTAGGCTACCAACTAAGAGGTCTTGTGTTCGAGTCTTGTGTATCTGATGCGTGTGTGTGAGTCTGCCTTAATTGGCTTAAATAAAAAAAAAAAATAATGCATTTAAATAATATATAGAATTATTTAGATGAGGATAAAATAAATATAAATTAATAAAAATTTTTATTTGATGTGAAATACAATTTAAAGCTCTAATAATATGTTCGCCCTTGCTTGGACTCGGAGGAAGGCAACGGTTGGCGGGGCAAGGGCGGCGACGATCGACAAGTGCCACAGTCGAGGCGGGAGCGGCAGGCGGAGGAAATCGTGGTTGGGGCTGGCAATGAAAAAAAATTTGTAATGTATTTCAAAATTTATCAAATTTTAAATCACAAATATTTTAAAAATTTATATTGTATTTCTTTTTAGTGAGACCAACAAAGCCCGCATCCTTCGAATATGGGAGCGGTGAGAGAGGTTGTACTTGATGAATCAGTCCTCTTCGCCGAGGACGCCGTCGGCAATCCTTGCCTTCATCCAGCTTCTGCGTCTCTCCTCCGTCGGCTGCGCCACTCCAATCTCCGTGTGGTAATAATAAGGCTTTTTTCTAAAATTGCTTCTTTTTCCGGATCGTCTTGAAATTTTGTAAAAAAGATTGTGTTCTTTGTCGCGCGCACTATCAGATATTTGAGTTGGAGCTTAAATAAGATAAACGCGTTTGGCTTTTTACGGACATAATATGTGTTTACGAAAGTTGACGACTTTTGTACACTCCAAAACCTCGATCTTAAGGTGGAGACGAGTCGACCCTAACTGTTTTCATCACCATTACTTATCCTCTACTTTCCATACTTGAATTAAGAGGGAACAAGACGAATTTACCTAGGGTAGATTCTCGCCCCCTTTTGGTGCCCTTTAGAAGTTCTGTCAGATTAGCTTGATCCCAACCTGGCTTTCTACTTTCCCGTATACTTACCTGCACTGTCTTCATTCTTCTAGTATTCAACTATGGTAAGCTTGCATAGAAGAACCAACTTTCACAGGCATGCTAGGAGCTGAAAATAGGAAGAAGTTTGCACTTGGGTGAAGTTATACGAGAAGTTTCTTTGCTTCCAAAGTGCCAATCTTAATTGAGTCCAAGAACGACGCCTCATTTTCACATTTAAGTTAAGCGTTGTAAGAAAAAGGCAAACTTTCAGCGTAATTCGCCATGTACCTCGCTCTGATTGTTATATTGCTTGTCCTTATGATTGCAATCATATATTTTGAATTCTAGATGGGTTGTACAGCTATATATTCTGAGATGGAAGACAATCAAAAGATAAGGAAACATGCACCTCAATATCTCCTCACTTTAAGGGGCTGTTTGGTAGAATGTAGGATTTCATTTAAGTAGGATTTCGTAAATCCTCCAAATCCTGGATTTACGAAATCCTGAAAACTGTTTGGTAACATTTATTATAAATCCAGTTAAATTCTGTGTGTCTGTTTGGCTATAAAATAGGATTTATCAAAGGGATTCTACTCTTGCGCCTGGATTTCGTAAATCCCGCAAAATATAGGATTTCCAAAATCCCGGATTTCGCTCGAATCGGCGGAATTTTCCGTCTATCCCGGATTTCACTTGCCGTGAGATTTGGTTTTGCATTTTAGGCCGTTTGGCTGGATTTCGCTCAAATTCGCCTCAAATCCGGCCAAAATCCTGCTACCAAACAGCCCCTAAATCCCCATGTTTCCTAACCTTGTAGACCTTTAAAAACTTTGGTTGTAATGTATTTGATGCTTGCAATGATTGATCAGTAGAAAGTCTTGATTCTCCTTGTCATTTCTTAATTTGTGAATATCAAGAACATGAACAAATTCAACTTTTTTTTTTTTAAATCATCTCCCTATGAACTGTTATTTGATGGTGTTGAGAATAAGCCCATAATCAACCCCAATGAAAGACACAAATGTAGAGCATCAGTTAACTGCTGTTCCAACAAATGCTTTAATGGACAACCCTTCCCTTAGTCCAGAGGTGTGTGTTCTTAGGATGAGATTTTTTTAAAGCTCTTATTTCTATGAGTGGCATATTTGAGGTGTGTGTTCTTGTTTACTGCAACTTTACACGCTCTTAATAATATACTTCCATCTTAACATTATTCTCACAAACAAATAAGGAGAACTTGATGGTAGAATGAAGAGATACAAAAGAGTATTAAGAAAAAGAAAGGTGTCTTTAAAGACCATGGAAACAACTATTAAAATTAGGACCATGACTTTTAATGATTTGTACTATAGGTTAGACAATGAGGAATGACAATAAAAAAAGGTATTGGTCCTTAGTCCTCATTGGATAATCACCGCTTAGTCTGGACTAACCATCAGAGTCTATGATGCACATATACGAACACACGGCACAACAATTATTGAAAATATAGGATACATATATGGATTCAACATGGTATTATAATTTTTATATATTAAAAATAGTGCGTAGAAATTGAATAAGGTTAATATTAGGAATAATAAAAAAATAATAAGTCATTTAACTAGTATATGTGTTTAAAATGATTAATATTAGAATGTTGAGAGTAGGACATGGATGTCGTGTCAGGCATCGAGAGGGAGATGACAATGCTATCGAGAGTCGAGCAACGATGTCAAGATAACATTGACCCTTGATGTCGAGACGACGTTGGTCGTTGATATTGAGATGATGTTGAACAATGATGAAATGTCGGGATAGTGCAAGGATATGATTGTGCGTGTAGAAATTGTTGGTGTTATGTGTTAATGTCAATAAAACATCAGAATTTAATGTTGAGATATTTTTAAAACATTAATGTTGTGATGGCATCGAATATATGACATCGTCCATTGTTGGGAAACCCTAGTCATAACCCGCTAGAGAGAATGAAAATGAGAATGTTTGTGGAATGATATATTAAACACAATTGATTGATTTGGGGCTTTGGAGAGAAAAAAAGAAATTTAGTTCTTATTTTTTTAATAAATAAAAATTTAAAATACTAGAAATTATATTTGAAAAAAATCATAAAATATTTAAGACACGTGTCAGATCTACATGTAATTTTTTTAATATTTTTTTAATCAGAAACGTCTTCAACCCTTCCAGCACATATCGGAGGGGTGTTGGTCCATTGAACGCATGTCGTGTTAGATACGTGTCGGACACTGCATACCTCTTTGAGGAAAGTGTTGATTCATTATTGATTAGAGCTCAAGCAAAATCTAGAAAAGCTTTATTGAACAAATAAAATTTAAAATAGGATTATAGGATTATATGTTATGATATATATTAAAAAATATATTATTTACACGTTTGTGTAATGCAGTTCCAAAAAATCGATCTTATTATACAATCTAAGGATTGTATCACACGGGCTATGTAAATAAGAAATTGTAAGTATGATCGCCAAAAGCATGGGCGAACTTATAATTGGTTATAGTTTGATAGGTAGTTGAGTGAAAAATATTGTTCATATTTTTATCTGTTATGTAGAATTATGATCATGAGTTGTTGCATAATATCATGATTCACCCTTATGAGAGTGCAGAAGTGCCTGTGAGGCTTCTTTATGCAAGTCTCCTTGTTCGTCGGAGGTCCATTTAACTTAATGAGCAAATTGAGAATTTTAAGAAAAATGAGGATAAAATAAATTTTTTTTTTTTAAGTAAAATTCAAATAAGAAGGCAAGCACAGCAAGGTCTCCTATCCTCTTCTCTCTTTTCAACCTTTAGAATGAAGTGTTTGCTTGACTTGAGACATTGAGCTTTTGATCTGATTGGCTAACTCTGCTGACCTTTGCCTTCTGTCTCCTGTATCAACATATGTTTGGGAAACTCTTGTGAATAAGTCGATAATCTGTAAATGGTAGTACTACAATAATATTCAATGCTTCGTGCCATCTGTATGAGGATCCAACCAAGCAACTCTAGTATGAAGACCATGCCACCGTTGATCTTATTACTAGGATAAGTAAAAATGTTGATGCAAGGTATAGGCTTTGAATTCTAGGATTCAGATGGGATGTCAAGCAAAAGATTGCAATGAGCTTTTGTGTGACGCTGAGTTCCTTCACTTGCACATTGATTATCTTCGGGGAAATGGTGTCCAAAAATAAAGATTATCCTTGGCTTGTATAAATGCATAAAATGCTCACATATGGACATCAAAATTTACTGAGATCATTATGTTCACTAAAAGCCTCCACCGTTAATTTTAACTTGAGAGAATTAAATTCCTCTCTAAAATAATCAAAAGCTCTCTAATAGAGTTTTTATTCTTTAGCATAACCCCTATGGGGATGAGTGGCTTTACAATTAGAAGTAGAATGTGAAACGAGTATATATATGTGAAGAGGTTGGAGTAGTTCCCGTGGCAGATAAGATTAACGATAGTCACCTTTGATATTTTGGTCATATAAAATGTCGGCCTTCCAATGAGATGAATAGGAGAGAAGATGTATTAGATCTAGCCTATGTTAATAAAGGTAGATATAGTCCTAAAAAGACTTGGGTAGAAAGTATTATAAATGTCATTTTTTCATTAGATTTAAATGACAATTTGGCTCTTAATAGGACAAAATGGAGAAAAGTGATTCATGTAGCTGACCCAATATAATGGGATAAAAGCTTGATGATGATGATGATGATGAGCATAACCCCTAAGGAAAACTTCAACAGGTCATAACAAAATTCTCCATAATTGAGATTCAAGATAGACATCAAATAATTCTTAGGCAAACTGGAAAAAAAAAAAAATGTCATGCTATATGATATGTTTCTTGGACTGTATCACTTGATCTTTACATACCATGTGTTAATTTTGTTTATAAGATACACACTCTTCATACCTAATGTAAGGTTGAAACAGTGCACATGTGGCCAAGCCCTGCCACGTAGTAGTTCTCTATAGTGTCATACTGTCATATAAGCTTACGTGCAACTCCATGGACGAATTCTTCCTTATACAGTGGAAAACAAAAGAAATTGTTAATATGCTTATTAAATTTATAGGAAAAAAGGGAAAACAGTCTTGGACTCTAGAAAAGTATGAGGAAGAATGCATGAATTTCAAAATTTTAATAGTGAATCCCGTTAATTCCAAAAACTGTGGATTGTTGTTAATGGCCATGGATATCAATAGACTCGAGAGCTCCGATTTGGAACTGAACCATGTGGTATTTTTTTTTTGTTAGATGTTGTCTTTATACGCAATGTAAGGTTGAGAACAATGCACAAATGGCCAAGCCCTGCCACGTAGCAGCTCTATAGTGTCATACAACTATACAAGCTTAGGTGCTACTTTATGGATTCATAACTGTGGATAACTAAAGAAATTGTAAATATGCTCATCAGTTTTAAAAAGTGGGAAAATAGCATTGGACTCTAGAAAATTATGGGGAAGAAAGCATGAATTTTTAAATTTTAACAGAGGATCCCGTAAATTCCAAAAACTATGTATTATGGTTCATGATTGTTGATATTAATTATTCTGTAATTCAAATTGTACTAACAATCATGTCATTTGAGTTTTAATTTTCCCATATTCACCAATCTTCTCGTTTGTTCTATTTTATTGTCTTTTATTTATCTTCTGCAAAACTCCAGTGTGTCGGCGATTTTTTTAATGTCTTTTATTGTCAGCTTCACTACACCTCTGGTTAAGTTTACAGACATAAGATTCTTGTATTTTTCCTTGCAGAAAATGATGAATTAAGACTGTAGTATGATGCTGCTGAAAATGTTTACTTATCTTTCAGGGTATTTGTTATGAGGAGGATGACACATCTCAGAAGGTATAGTTGATTCCATTACTTTTTAAGGATCGTGGATTTTATTTTTTCATCTTGATTGCAGTTTATATGAAAAGCGACCAATCTTTTTATGCTAAACAGCGGAGCATATTGCAGAAATATTTGAGTTGCTTTTTGCTTTGTTTCAACCACCTAACATGTAGAGTGACACTTATATGTGCCAAAATTTAAAGTTTGTTTTTGCAATATTTTTACCCAATAGCAGTGTAAGAGCTAGTTGCCTTTGTTTGATAAAGTTAGTTTTTCATAGTATTTTTCATATATATATATATATATATATATATAAAGATTATTTCTACAATATTTTTACCCTCGTAGACCCCACCTGTGCTTGTCCAGTTGTGCCGCACGTCCCCTAGTCCGCTCACCTGCTTGCGGCCACAATCTTTTATAACTTATTAATTATAAAATTTAAGATATTTGATAAAAAGTAATAAGATTACCCATATATAAAAAAGGGAAAAAATTATTAAATTGGTCATTTTCGGGTAAAAAATGAATTCGCGAGCAACCCGAACACGATCTATTTAATAAATAGGTCGAAAATCTCAACACATTTATTAAACAGGTTAGCTCGAGCTCGGATTTTTCGAGACAAGTTGGCGGGTCGGGTCAATTATTAACACTCCTATGAAGATCAACAAATGTATGGTGAGGCAGGGAGCAATGATGAGGAGGGCTTACTATGGTAAAGAAGCTGCCCTAAGTTCAAAATTGTTTGATCCTATTCAAAAAGATCTAAGCTAAAAGTTGACCAATTACCTATCTTAATTGAAATGAATGGTGGGAATAAAAAAAAATTTGAAATGAATGGTGATGATGATTGATAAGAATGAATACATGTGGTTGATATTGGGAACATCTGTGGTTTATGATAAGAAGTTATATTGTTTGTTCTCTTTAGTGAATTGATTACTTGGCTTGGCATTTTTGTGTTTTAATTTGATAAGTATTTTGTTTCTTGGTTAACATGGAAATGGCATGTGGGCTGAATGTTTTGAACGTTGTCTAATCATATAATGCACTCTTATCTGTCTTACTTTATGTTTGAAGATACTGGTTGTTATTTTTCACAGAGATTATTTGTAAATATCAGATAGAATGATATGTTGCAGGCATCCTTTGTTCAAGGAATTGCTGCAACACACTCTTTGGATTCTATCCCATTAAGTGGAACTGATGAAGATTCACTTCAGAAATTTTTAGTAGCCTGGAATGGCACTGGATCGAGCTGTTTGTTCATAACTTCCAGAAAGATTGAGCTATTTTTTTCAAAACTTAGGAACATTGGTTGGATAATTGTTTATGTTGGTGAGCATGATTTTGTTCTTTTATTAGACTATGTTGTTTAAACGTGTTAAAATTAACAGTGCTATTTCCTGACTTATGAACTCTTCTGTTTCCTGGTTTTTCTTGAGCTAATATTGTATTCTCAACTGGAGGTTGTGCCAGTGTTTTGTATGTAATTGAAGCATTACTCTCTGTTACATAGGTGTTGACAGCAACGTTGCTACAGATAGCGGATTCATCAACATTAACACGGTGCAAGCTGTGCCGATCACTATATGCAATTTGAATAAAATGGTCAGTTTTAATGCGAAATCACAATATTCTTCTTCTAGAATGTTATTATTGATATTTATATTACATCAGGCAATGCATGAAAAGCCTTTGGTAATTGGCTATATTATGAAGCCATCCCGTGAAGAAGATTTTTCTGAGGTAGGCATTCGTGGAACATAAATGCAGGCTTATGATTTGTAAGTTATGGATTAGAGATTTACTCCTGATTTCTTGTTGACAGAGAGGAGCATTCCCTCTGTATCCAACTCATAATGGATTGCTGTTTCTTCCTCTATCATTTGAGCTGCCATTAGCACGCCAAATAAAACAAGTTGATGTCGTCCTTCATAAAGCAACAGATGAAATCATCAGCATTGACACTTCTTTAGATTTTTCCAATGGTATTTTATTTTCCAAAGGAATGAATGAGCTTAAAAGGTTATTTTTTTTATTTGAAATGTTTTGTGTTATTCTGAAATGGGCATTAATTGTTAAATATATCTACTCAATAACAATATAACTTTGTCAAGCTTGCCCAGAGACCTCTGATTTTTAGCATACATGATTGACATCTTACATTGTTATTCCTTTTTATCCTGTTATTATACTTTTCTGGGAATAAGTTTGTGATAATCCAATCCATTTAATTGATATTGATATATATATATATATATATATATCGAACTTCGATATGCTAAGTATGGTTGCTTTTTGTCTGCTTTTTGTTCAAATCTAGTTTATGCTGACCGATTACCTACTGATTTTATCATGGGCAGGAATATTGAAGATATACCAGATTGTTGTGTGATTGATTCGCTGAACAATATTTACCCCTTATTGGATCGACATAAAATCCAGGAAATTTTATGCAAATTGGATGAATTCAACATCAAAGGTCACCGTAAACTCCGGGCACCCCATTTTCTAAAGGTCCTTTTGTTGGAAAGTATTCATTTGAAATTTTAATCTGACTTCATTCATTACTAAAGCTGTTCTAAGAAAGAAATAGTTATATACCAAGTATCCTGTTACGTAGATTTGTGATACAGAAAATAGTCCAGGTTGGTTTTCTTTCAAATATCAGTTACCTGGTTTTGTCCATAGGTACTGTTGTTTTGTCTATGTATATTGCCAATTTCTTCTTGGATTAGTACCTAGATTCACACTAGCTGTTATCACATCTAAAGTATCACATGCCATCTTATTATAGTATGAATTTTTATTATTGATGGTGTAATATATCCTCATTAATGAGAATATTCTCTTTTATTGTGTTTTATTTTATTATTATCCCCTTTGCCTATATATTGACCATTCATTAAAAAATGTAGCTATTTTACAATCAACTTTACCTTTCTAAAATGTTATTAGAGCATCCTGATTTCTCAACTGTCGGTCACTCTTGTGAATATACAGAGATCATTCACTTGCCTCCCTACTTCCATTTACATTTTGCGCTTAACACATCCAGCTCCTACTTGGCATGTTGCTTTCTTTCCTTTGTTCCTCATTTCCTACACTCGCTATGCATGTTGCACACTTATTCTAGCTCCAATCATCGCCTCTCTTGCGTGTTGCTCCTATGTCACTTTATGTTTGTACACCGCTTTGCGCCTAGGCATGTTACATGACTTTCCTCTAGTTCTCATCTCAACATTCTCTACTTCTGACTCCCAGATCTTATCATCTCTCTTCATTTTTTAATAAATGGTTATCCACAACACTAAGAATATTCCTACAACATATTGACAACAAATTCACTTGTTGACATTGGAGCCAGAGAGAGAGAGAGAGAGACAGGTGGATAACCAAGAGCCTTGTTGAATGGCAGGGATGGAGACCACCACCTGGGTGTCATGAGTCGTCCAGGAACAGGAACCCGAAGCTTGTGGAGCCTATTTTATTTCTTAACCAATCGAATGTACAAAAGGGATAAGCTCTTATTTTTAAGGAGCTGTAGGATACATCTGTGGGCCCTTAGAAAGAAAGAAAGACACAAGTGAAAAAAAAAAACCAAACTATAAGTGATGGTAAATAGAACTAATTGGCTGAATTGTGATGGTCGGACCTGCCTGATTAATCTCGGCTTGCATGACTCAATTTAGTGTCATTTTCCCCAGCTAAGAGAGGCTTTGCCATACTCAGAAGCCTATAAGTCTTCATAATAGGGGGTTAAATCTGACACATTGAAGGTGTCTGATACCTAATAATCACATGACAGTTCCAATTGATACCTAAGTAAATAAAAGAATGTTGATATTGTTATCTGTTTATTTGACAATGTAGAAATGCTATGTGTTTGTAAATATTAAAAAAAAATGTGTATATAAGAATAATTTCTTTCAATTAGATCTGTGATCAATACTAAATATTAGAGAATTGTTGTAGTAGGGATCAGATAGTTTCAGGCAGTGGGGGTTATTCCAGATTGGCTTCTACCACCACTAAGACCTGGCCATGGTCAGCGTACATGATCTTCTGCACAAAGAGGGATTGGGGCGCCACTTTGGTACTACGATTTCATAAGTGGTGGCCTCTTTTGGGGTAGCAGGACCGCCCATCCTTGTAGAAGGAATATGTATGACAAAATTCACCGTGCTTGGTTTGCAGTCAAACTGCCATTGCCTTCCTAGCAATAGGTGGTGGGCATCCATGGGGATGATGTGACATATGACCTATTCTTGAAATTTTCCTCGAATAGAGAATTGTACCAAACAATGTTTGGTCACTATTATCTTGCTTCCTTTCTTGAGCTAAGAGAGCTGATACGACTTTGGATGTGGCTGTCACGACCGGGCCCGAACTCTCAAATTAACGAAGCAAGAACAGACGGTCGGATGGTAGATTAAATTTTTATTTGCTAAACTTTTCTCCATTACACACTAAAAGAGCCACTAAAACTAAAAAAAAAAAAACTGATATAAAATGAATTAAATATCTTCCATTCGGTGCGTCACGTCAATGGTACATATTTTTATATATTCTACTAATTTTGATTTTATTAAATTATAACTGAAAATGTTAGAGAAACTAAAAGTAAGCCTTAGCTAAATGAGTAAAACATGCTTCTAAATTACTGTAACCCAAGACAATTGGAATAATATGCATGAACATTTGAATTCATATCATAAAGTAATTCTATTTATATTCATTTCATTTCAAGACTTTCACTATTATGCATATACAATATCTTTATCTATCTCTTTTATGATAAATACTACAACCGTCACATGAGATACCGTCTAATTTAATAAACTGTTCTATAACTTTTTCATTTACGTGTACGCGTACATTACATCCTCAACCAGTATCATAAGGGGGTGTGTTCTATCAATTAACATGTACATGCAATCACATATATCTAGTCATTTCATTCATATTACATTTATTTACTTTATGCATTAATGCAAAACATAACATGTTAATCATTTACAATCATTTAATATGTGAGAGATGAATCATTTGCAATGCAGTTAGAAGAAACAATAAGATAAATCATTTGCGAGAACAATTAAATGCAATTAGAAGCAGTATAATTATCATAATATAGAAACACGCATACTCACATTGATTCGGTTTTTTTAAAATTTCCTTCTTACTCTTTACAAAAATTGATAATTCAACACCTACACAAGAGACATTATTAAATGTCAAAGTTTTGAATCATTGATTTCTTGCATTTAATTTTTCTTCCTTTTTAATATATATATATATATATATAGTAAATTTCTATATTAGTTCATATATATAATTTAATCATATCTCTCTTACATATATACTTTCTCCATCTATGCTACATTTTGTCAAAATAAATAAAAAATATGTTATATTCAATTAAAATTTTCTATAATCTCATTTATTATTCTCAAATATATGCTCATAAAGTTTATAAATTAAATTTATTAACATTAATCATTTTAATACAATAATTCTCGGTTATAAATTTTCATCATTTGCAAAAATAAAATTTCACAAAACGTACCTTGAACTTCTTATATAAAAATTTGTTCATGCCCTAGCTTGCACGTAACTTTCTCCTTCAGCAGCTTGCTTGCAAATGCCAACTCTCTTCTCTCTCTCGATCTCACCCCATCTCCCTCTTCGTCGTCTTCAAATGACGAAGCCACCCGCGAATCCACAAAGTTCCTTTTTCTTCCTCTCGGCTGCTTTTCAATCCCTTTCGTTCGTTTGATTCCACACGAGCATTTCTATATTGTCAACCTGCTCTCAAGCAATATGGATGGAGAAAATGATAAAAAGCCATTAATACTTTACGGATTTAAAGTGCACAAACCCTCTTAAAACTCCATTAAAGTGACAGAACTACTAAGAAAATTAAAGTAATCTGCTACCAAGAGTCGACACTTGCTAGTTCCACAGACAGGCAACAAGTTTATGTTCTACAAAAACTGCATAATCATATTCCTCTCCAACTATTCTGCTATGTTAATTGAACCATCACCATCTCCAATGTCATTCTCATTGATGCCTAAGTTTAGAATATTTTATGTAACAATTTCGAAGTTCATGATCTAAAAGACTTGGTTAGAAAATATTAAAATTGATATTTCTTTATTAGATTTAAATGAGAATTTGACTTTTAACATAACACAATGGAGAAAAAAGATTCATGTAGCCGACCCCACATAGTGGGACAAAGGCTTGATGTTGTTGTTGTTGTAGTTTCAAGTTCACGATCCTTTAAATCTACAAGAAAAGAAATTAACAACAACAACAACATCAAGCCTTTATCCCACTACGTGGGGTCGGAAACAAGAAAAGAAATAAACATGTTAAAAAATTATATATATAATTTCAACGAACATAATGTGTTATCTTATTTATGATACAACCAATCCTTTGTATATACCAATGCTTCAACAATGTCATGTTTTAATGCACTTCCAAATTGATCAAGAATTTTGCCATTATTGCTAAAAACACTTTCGGAAGCCACTGTAGAAATTGGAATTCACAAAATGTCGTGGCCATAGCAGAAACTTCAGGAAACTTGTACTGATTATCTTTCCGGTATTGTAAAATATCTATTCAACTTTCTTGTCAAGTTTAGGCTCATCAAGATAAATTTCAAGTTCACACGTCCTAAGCATTGTAATCTCTACTTTGAAAGAATCGTAATCCTGTTTGGATATTAATAAAAACACTTCGTAAGAACATGAATTTAATAAAGGCATAAACAAATATGGTTAAAAATTTACATCATGTCACCTGTAGAAATTGAGAATTTATGATTGTTGAAGAAAAACTGCTTGAAAGATTACTTTGAGACGAAAGTGCTACTTGTGATGCATTTGAAGTTGAGTTAACACTATTCAATAAAGTTCAATTTATATCTTGGATTAAGAATGACAGCAATAGCTAAGATAACACAGCAATTAGACCAATAATTTTCAAACTTAGAAAGCATGCCAGTTTCCATTCTCTTTATATAATCATGCCCACTTGTCATTTCATGCTTCAATGTTGCATAGACAGTGGAAATCCAAGGAAAATAGAGATTTGTAGCAGGAAATTTTGTTCTAGAGAATGTACAAGGGATATCATAAAATGGTGCCAGGAAGCTGCATATCTTAATTATTTTATAACATTCACTACTTGAGGGACAACATTTGAAGTTGGAATCACCCAACTCCAAAATTAAAAAAAGCTCATATGTAATAAATAGGACTGTCAAGCATGATGAAAGTTGAATTCCATCTTAGTGGAACATTCTGTCTTAACCCTCTTTTATCATCAAGAAAACTTTGGTAACACATAAATTTTTTTTTTTGCCTGAGAGCCTTTCACATATTTGATACTTCCATGCACCTTTGTGATAGAATCATCTATCTCCTTCAAACTCTCTTAAATAATTAGATTAACAATTTATGCACAATATCTCATATGAAAAATTCACCATTGTAAAGTGCCATCTCTTAAATTCAAATGATTTCTTAAGAAATTAACATAAATATTATTAGCAGAAGCATTATCTAATGTACTTTCAGTTTTCGATTCAACTAAAAAATGTTGTAGCTTTAAAAAAAAAAACAATGCCATAGTGTGTGTGTGGGTGCCATAAAACCAAAATTTAGGGTCTTCTTTTGCAAGCGCCAATATAACAAGGAAATGTGCAGTTAAATAGATTAAACCATCAATATTGATAGAAGTCCATAAATCAGATGTCAAGCAAATTCTACTAATTACATTTAAATAATAAAGCTTGAATATGCTCTTTTTCCTGTTAAACATTTTCTTGCAATTGCTCTAGACATGTTGCAAGTCTCGGTGTGAATAACAAAGTAACGCTCAACACCAATGTTGAAATGACAAATCACACATGATGATGCAAGCAGTAAATAAATCACAAACTCTTTGCATTCTCTCGTGCGTACAAAATATGTTTGCAACTTTGCATTCATAAGTAACTTGTACTTAAAGTCATAATATCACATATTTTGCTACATCAAAGTCACAATATCATAAGCAACTTATACTTGAAGTCACAATATGATGAGGACATCAGTAAGAGATTTTGGCATGCCTATCATAGGAGACATTGTAGATCGACAGTTACGATTAGGAGTCTTTACTTGTGATGCATTTTATGTATTTCTTTTATTTATGTTCAAGTTTTTATCATTGTACCCCTGAGAGGGATTAGTTCATGTTGTAGCCCAGAAGACAATTTAGTCTTTTTGTTTTGTTCCTTGAGGCCTATATATGAAGGCCCTAGCTTTTGTATTGAGATGATGATGATTTTGAATGAAAATTTCAGCACTTGTTCATTTTCTTTGTTGTGAGCTCTTGAGAGAGGAGAGAATCCTAAGAGAGGGCCAAGCAATTTCCGTCAGCCTTCGGTAGAGTTCGGGCTCGTGGTTTGTATCCGTTCTTATTCTTTATTCCCCTTTCCTCTTCCCATACCGCCAGCTACCCCCTTCCCCCTCCCAAATTCTGGCCAAACCCTCTCCCTCCACCCAAACCGCCGGTCATCCTTCACCAAATCCCCCACTCGCCAGCCCTACTCCACCCAAAACCCCAAACTAACCCCCTCCATAGCCGTCGGACCCTCCCTATCACAACCCTAGCCGTCGACCAAGCCAAACCTCCAATCCCCTTGATTCCAATTTCCAATCGCCCCTTTAATACTTTCCTAATTGAGAGTATTCTAATTTGGAAGGTCCTTAATTTAAATTCAAATGAATTTGAATTTCAAAAACTTTCCAAATTAAAATAAACCTATTTTGGGAAATCCCCCAATCACTTCAAATCTGAAATTAAATTTACATATTTAATTCAC